GATATTACTACTATTATTATTTTAATTATTATTATCAGTATTGATGTTATTGGTATTAGTATTATTATTGTTTTTATTTTTATTATTGGCATTGCTGTTATAGTTATATTATTATTGTTATTGTTATTGTTATAATTATTATCATTATTGTTATTGTTGTGATTATTATCATCATTATTATTATTATTGTTATTATTGATATTATTATTACTCTTTTTGATATTGTTGTTTCATGGATTATTAATTTTCTATTTTATATATATATTATTATATATAATTTACATTAATAATATGACTGTTTATTATGATCATTGTTCTGTTATATCCAATTGCTTTGTTGTTGTTTATTATGATTATATTTTATTAATTATTTATTAATTATTATTATTATTATTCATTATCATTTATTGCTTATTATTATCATCATCATCATTAATAATCATTTATTATATATTCCGATCATTGTCATTATGATTATTATTTTGATATCATTATTTGAGATTATCATTGTTGTTATTATTTGTTCACTTATTTATTCATCATTATTATTATTGTGTTTGTTGGTGTTGTTCATGCTATCCATTACCATTATCATTATTTATTGGGTATTTGGTATTGTTGTTATTCATTTATTTTCTTCCAAATTATTTTTGTTATTGTTATTATGATTGTTATTATAATTGTTATTGTTATTATTATTGCTATCATCATCATCAGTATTATTATGTTTATTATTCTGAATATTATTATTATTGTGTTTTTATTGGGTTAGTTATTATTTTATATTTTATTTTCACCATCTTTATTATTGTTGTTATTGTTATTACTATTGCAATTATTGTTTTTATTATTTTTATTATTATTGTTGTTGTTGTTGTAGTTATTGTTATTATGTTATTATTGCTATTATTACATGTATTGTTATTTATGTTGTTGTTGTTGTTGTTGTTGTTATTATTATTATTATTATTATTATTATTATTATTATTATTATTATTATTATTATTATTATTATTATTATTATTATTATTATTATTATTATTATTATTATTATTTATTATTATTTATTATTATTTTTATTATTTATCTACTACTTACTACTATATACTACTACTACTACTACTACTACTACTACTATATTTATTATATTATCATCATCATTGTTACTGTTTGTGTTATTATGTTGTTATTGATATTTATGTTACAAGGACATGCCTTTTAGGTTATATCATGTATTTGCAGGACCCAAATTTACCAACAAAGTGGGCAAATTTCTTCACAGTTAATAGAAGTGAAGAAAACATATGTACTTTTCACATAGCAATCATTGAACAAGGGAAAGACTGGGTAGATTTTTTTCAGTTGTGGTAAAGTTTATATTTACGTACAATGTGTCAACTTGCTATTTGCCTTTTACTCCATGTAATGTGATGTATCAATTTATTTTATTTGTTTTTTGATTAATGCAGAGGAGGGTGAGTATTGGGCCTCCAGTGACTTGTTCTTTATTGATCACTGTTGCAATGTCGGAAGATTGCAGAATGGCCAGTAATTCAGTCGTCAGTGGCATGCGATTCCAGCAGAGCTTTCATTGATTAATGTTGTCCTGCTGTTAAGTTTTGACTTGTTTTATTTTAATGCGCTAATGTCTATGCTCGTTTCTTTTTTCTAAGCAGGATGGTATTGTTTTAAGGATTTTTTTTTTTTTTTTTTCTTTCACTTCTGAATGGCGGGTTGTTCAAAAAGCTGAATGTTTTGCTGTATGTTTTTTTTCCAAAAAGAGGTTATACTTAATTTTTCTTTCTTCTCTTTTTCTTTTTCTTTTTTCTTTAAGTGTAATTGCATGAAAACAGCTTATCCACTACAGCCACTGATCGATGCAGGTATCTTGTTTGAAATAAATGATAATGTATAAGTTTATCTGATCATTTATTAGATCTAAATCACTCTACCAAATTTAGCCTTCTAACATGATATTGGAAGATGTATTTCATCTGATTTTCTTTAAATTGGTATACCTCTTAGGAGATCATCATCTGTGCTGCAATAGTTTGCATGCATTGATAGATGTATGGGTAGGCAGAGATGTGTTGAATGAATACTATTTGTTGGCATTTAATACACTTACTTGCTTTCACTTTTATGGGTTTGTGAACTTTTGGACTGTTGGAGCATCTGCTCATGTCATGTTCTGAAATTGGAACTAACTGAAGGCTGTGAGTCATCTGTCTATGTGTAGATGGGTGTGTCCATATTAAGGTGGACTTAAGAGTAAAGGAAAAGAATTTGGTATAAATATAAAACACATTTTAAAGTCATATTAATATTATTATTATTATTATTTATATATGTATTTTTATATGGGTCTTTTTTCTAAAGGGTAATCTCTTTAAATATGAGTGTCAATTTTGTCTATATGTAGATGGCTTCACAAGTGTTTATTCACCAAGGAGGTACGTGCTAGGCCTGCCTGATCTGTTTACCCAACTCATTGAAAAAA